AAGGTCAGTGAAATCCCCTCAGGATTTATCCTGAGATCCTGTACCTCAGATTGTAGATCCTTTGTCAGTTTCAGCCATGTGGATGAGTCACGGCCATTGCTTGGCCAATGTGCTCTCTGTGAAAGCGGCTTTCAATTTTAAAGTCTTTGCCATGCTGCCTTCCAAAAAGAACCCTGAGACACTTTACATTTCTACTGAACATAAACAACTAGCCTTGTTTAAAACTCACTGCTTGGTTTTATTACTTTAAAGGGAATATAGTGATACCATGCCTGTCTGAACTGTTCCTTTTCCAGTACTTGTTAGTTATCTGTATTTTTCATAATTAAGTATAAAGCCTCTCACTATTATCTTCTGCCATCTAATCAGCTTCCTACATAGTCAACACATACGCACACACATACACTTGCCCACGGATGTTTTTATGTGTACATTAAACCACAATGTACCATCCTCTATACATCCTTCCCTTTTGGTTCTCCCTTACCACGTATCAGAAATATTTTCCTATGTTAATAAATATCTACCACATAATTTTAAACAACTGAGTAAAAATAATCCATTATACAGTTAAGTCATTTTAAACTAGTCCCCTCTATTGTGTCACTGGTTTTTATAAACCACATGAACAATGTTGCAATAACAATGCATCTTAGTGCCCATTTATGTTGATTATTTGTACTTGAAAGTAAATTATCAAAAAAAAAAAAGTAAATTATCACTTGGCTTGGTAATCCCAGCACTTGGGAGGCTGAGGCAGGATGATCACTGTGAGTTTGAGACCAGCTTAGCTACATATTGAGTTCAACACCAGCCTGAACTAATACGAAGAACCTGTCTCAAAAAGACAAAAAAAAAAAAAAGTAAATTATCTATGTAAGAGGTGAAGGCAAAGGAAAGAAATATGCACAAGAACAGGCAAGTCCTCTACAGTGACATGCTCATGTGAAGACGTGCCAAAATATGTTACTACATGTTCACTCACATAGTTAACTGTAGCATCAATTCTATAAGAAGTTTTAGTTAGCCTTTATTTCTTATAGATAAACATTACTGAATGTTTTCTATGTTTTTATAAAACCACCCAGTATGCTTTTATAGAGGCTCAGGGAGATAGCTCAGCAGCATAAGTGCTTGCCTGGCAAGTATAAGGTCCCAAGTTCAATCCCTGGTACCAAAAAAACAAAACAAAACAATATGCTTTTATAAGAACAAACTCATTTCATTATTTCACTGACTTTACAGAAGAAGAAACTGAAGCATTATGAGGTTAAATAATTTGTCTGTGCGCTGGCCCCGCCCCTAGGCACACTGAGTTGGCTACCAGTACAGGTGTGGTAGTGCCTGTAATCCCAGTGCTGGGGAGGCTGAAAACAGGGGGATCACTACAAGTCCGAGCTGCGTAGTGCACCCATGTACCAAATACATAAAATAATAATAATAACAATAATAATAATTTGTCCAAAGTCAGAAATTAAGAAATGAAGATCCAGGATTCGCCTGCAGGTAGTCTGTCTTCAGAATTAGGCTCTTAACCATTAGCAGCACTGCCTATTAGGTTAGATGGAAGCCCAGGAATTTAACTAATAAATGACAAAGCCACAATTCAAATGTACTTCTCACAGACCCCAAACCCAGGCTCTCTGCCTTCCTGATAATAACCAAGAAAACAGTGGGCTCTTCAATGAGCAAAAGAAAAGCAAAATAAAAAGAATAACAGCATTTAAGCTACCTTTATATCATTTAGGAATTCAATATCCTCCTTCTGTATTGCTTTATTAGTCCATATTAAGGCACTATAGGTCTTGGTCTTTTCTTCTTCACCTTCTTTCATATGCCCTATTGCTTCTCTAAAAAAAAAAAAAAATTAAAGAAAATGTTCTAAATATATAAAATATACATGAGCCTTGCTCCAAATCTCTTTCTTTAAAAATACCTTTATTGAGATACAATTTACATGTCATTCCCCTCTTTTAACTGTACAAGTCAATGATTTTTAGTATAGTCACAGAGCTGTGTGCCTATTACCATAATCTAATTTTAGAACACCTGAATCATCCCCCAAAAGAAACTCCACTCCTATTAGCAGTCCTTCCCTCTTCCTCCATTTCTCCCACCCGAGAGAGCCACTCATTTTCCAGCTCTGTTGTGAACAGGTCAGATACCACAGAATCACGCAGTACTTGGTGGTCAGTGACTGCCTTCTTTCACTTCATAACACTTTCAAGATTCAACTTTGTTGTGCCATGTCAATATAGTGCTCGTTCATTCTTATTACTGAGTAATTTTCCGTTGTATGGCTATACAGTCACCCTCCCTTCCACAGTTTTACCTTCTGCAATCTTAGTTACCCACAGGCAACCTTCAGCTAAAAGCATTATGTGTATGGAAGGTTCTAGAAATAAGCAATTCATATATTTTACATAACTTATAGTATATTGTTATAATTGTCCTATTTATTATTAGTTATTTATTGTGCCTAATTTATAAATTAAATTTTATCATAGGCATGTGTATGAAAAAGCGTAAGATACAGAATTCAGTACTATCCAGTTTCAGGCATCCACTGGAATATTAGAACATGGCACACACTGTAATCCCAGTATCCAGGAGGCAGAGGCAAGAGGATTGCTGTGAGTTTGAGGCCAGTCTGGGATACACAATGAGTTCAAAGCTAGCTTGGAATATATAGCAAGACCTTGTCTCAAAAACAAATAAACAAACAAATAGCATATCCTCCACAGATAACTAGGAAACTACTGTATCATATTTTGATTATCTATAGATACTTGGGTAGTAATGACATCTTTGCTTTATAAATACTACTACTATAAATGCTCAGGTACAAGTCTATGCAGAGGTATGTTTTCATTTCTCTTGCAAATACAATATCTAGAAGTGGAATTGCTGGGTTATATGGGTATACTCTATATTTGATCTTTTGAAAAAATATTCAACTATTTTCCGAAGTGGCCACATATATAACCCCACCAACAATGTATGTTACAGTTTCTGTGTATTCTCACAGTGGTTGTCATTTTCTGTGTTTTTTATAGTAGCCATCTTAGTGATTGTGAACTGGGACATCACTGCAGTTCTGATGTGCGTTGCCCTAGTGACTAATGAGGCTGAGCATCTTGCATGTGTTCATTGACTGTTAACGTTTTCTCTGGAGAAATGTTTACTTAATCACTTCCCCATTTTTAACTGGGTTGTTAGAAAATTCTTTGTATATTCTAGGTGCAATTCCCTATCAGACATATGATCTGCAACCAAAATTTCCCTTTCAAAATCATCTCCAGTGAACCTACCTTACCTTGTGACAAGTTGCAAATCACGTACTTGGATTTTGTTGGATGATTTATTAATTTTCTGTAGTAGCAGAAAAAGAAAAACAATTAGCAATTCTAGCTTAGTTTTGAAGTTGCAGAAACAAGATGATTTCCATGTCATGAAGGGATTTACCTGTTGAAGTTCTTTAATTTCTTGTGAAGTGAAGTATACTCTATGAGGATTTACCAGCTCAATTGCAAAGGGTCTTCCTGGCAGCACACACCCCGTCGTGAAACAGAAATGCATTGATAGAGTTAACATTTAGGATCATGCAAGAGGGTGAGGACTGTGAACAATGGGTTGAGCTCTACAGGGCTGAAAGTTCAGTGCATGACTATATCCTGGTGGGGGGAGAACGTGTGAAAAGAATCAAGCAGCTTTTGGGAGCATAGGGGATGCTGCACCCTAGAACAGGTGACATGTGAAAATGCCTATTTTCCCAAATGTACACAAGCAAGCCTGTGTTAATTACAAAATAACCTTCAAACAACCACGAATTAAGTTGATTATGGTGCTGTTATGCTGTCACATGCAACAATGCCCAGGTATACCAAGTCAAAATCCGCTCTCCTAGCTTAATCCACTAGTGAAATGGAAAAATGGTAATTCCATGAGCAAAACGAACTATAAATATCAAGTAGCTCAGGATTATATTTCAACATCTTTCTTGTAATTCAACAAGATAAAATGAGAAATGAAGGCTAAGAGCAGAATCACTTTTTAAATGAAGACATAAATTCTGAAAACTGGTACTTCTGAAATGTTACTAAATAGAACAATTAATCAATCTGTAGGGAGAGGAGTACACATAAAAGTCCCTTACAAGCTATGGGTATGCAGTCAGGGTCATCTGTGAGGAAACGGTTCTTGTGAGACATCATATAATATACAAAGGTAGCTCCACAATCAATGAGGCTTTCCACCTGGAGAAGCTCCGGGCCCTGCCCACTTTAGTTTTAACCACTAAGTAACTACAGCAAGCCTGCTGTCTGCAACAGATGATCATTGGAGAGTTAGCTCTGGACAGGTAGCGCTGATATAATCTTACCATTTCCTAAGGTTCTCACATCGACATCTTCTCTTCCAGAGGATGAAAAGTTAAAACCTTTGGAAAACAGATAAAGAAACAAACAAAAAATCAGAAACATATACCCCTAAGATATTTGTTTCTAAGCTCAAAGAAAAAGCCAATTTAAATCCCTACACAGTCCACAGGAGAACCCCAAGGGACAGTTATCATTCCGTCTAGTCCCAACCTTTGATGAAAATAGAGATGATCATAATAAACACCACATGCGGCATAGTCACTATATGCCAGGCTCTAGAATAACAACTATACATACATTATTTATAACTTTGTGAAGAATCAAATAAAAGAACATTAAGCAGTAGAAATGTAGGCAAGTTTCCCAATGCCACATGATTAAATGGCAGCACTAGGTAATTCTGATGTCAAAGGTCCAGCTTTGATGTTGTCACACGGGCATGCAAGAGCACAGGACTGCGTGAGTAAAGGCTCCATCACCTCCATGGCCATCATCTCATGGCAAAAATTCTATCACCATTTTTTACTTTGTTCTTTTTTTTTAAATGTATTTAGTACAGGATCTACAGGATCTCACTACACAGAGGATCACTACTATGTCTTCAGTCTCCCAAGTGCTGGGATTAAAGGCCATTTTTTATTTTCTGAAAAAAATAATTTATGGGCTGGTGAGATGGCTCAGTGGTCTAAAGCACCTACTTAGAACAAGCTAAGATAAGCAAAGCACAGGGTCCGCGGTTCAATCCCCCAGCACCATATGCCTGCCAGCCCCGCCCCCTGGTGGGCTGAGCCGGCCACGCACACACACACTAAATAAAACACACACACACACAAATAAATAAATAAATTCTTAAAAAAAAAAAAAGAAATGGGAAGAAAAACTTAAAAAAAATAATTTATATAAGAATTAAAGTCTCTAAAAGAAAGGGGGGCATGAGCCTAAAAAACAAATTTATTGTCTAACTAAACCTAAGCTAGAACTATGATTAAACCAGTGTATATTCTACAATCAATAGATCATCACAAACTAAAAACTATAAAAACTGGATAAAGAAAATAGACAAATAAAAACCACATGACAACATTCTTAGATACTGAGCTAACTGGCTGACTGATGATTCCACCACCATCACTACAGCAGCTGTGTTATTCTAAGTTCTTTATGTGTATTAACACTGTCATCATCTGACTGGATAAACCCCTGGCCTAAGGTCACACCATTCTAAGAAATGCAGACCCAGTGGCAGCACCAGGTATCTCCTCAGAGTGTATTAACCATGGGGCTCTACAGATGACAGACATGGCCAAGAGCTCAGACTTGCACCCTGGTGGACAGACAGGATCAGCCTTCCTTGACCAGGGTCTGGGCAAGGCTGGGATGTTTTAGGAACTTTATTTTATTTATTTATTTATTTATTTATTTATTTGGCAGAACCAGGGAGTGAACTCAGGCCCTTGTGCTTGCCAGGCAAGCGCTTATTCTACTGAGCTATCTTCCTGGCCTGTTCAGGAACTTTAGAAATCCCAAGAGTAGTAAAGTCTAAGGTTGCTGGACATTGAGCTCGGAGACTAGGAGAACTCAGGCTCACACCTTGCCTTAGCCATTCAGTGAACAAGTACCTACCAAGTACACCTGCCAGGTACAGGGCACTGTGCAAACAAAATGGATATAATTTGTAGGCACGCAGAGCTTACTTGATGTGGAGGAATATGGACTACAAAAAAGTAAGGCATTAACATAGGATATGTAAAGAACATTGCTGCAGTAAGGACCCAATTCTAATCCCCAAAACATGGGATTTGTCTTTATCCTCCAATATTTCAACCACTAGGGGAGGCACAAGATTGCTGTGAAGAATAAAAGGGAGAAGGATCGCATATCATTGTAACAGCCATTTCCTCTCAACAAAGATTCTATACACAGAATTTCCATGTAAGTTTTAGAAAAAGCAATGTTAGGGCGGCATGCCTAAAATCACAGATGCTTGGGAAGCTGAGTCAGAAAGGTCCCTTGAGCCCAGGGTTCAAGGTCAGCCTAGGCAAAATAGGAAGACAATTTCTCTTAGAAAAGAATAGAACAAAAGGAAAGGGAGGGCTGGAGAGATAGCTCAGCGGTCTGACGCACACCTGTAATCCCAGCACTGGGGACAGTGAGACAGCAGTGTCACTAAAAGTTTGACCTGCATAGCGAGACCCTGTGTCAAAAAAAAGAAAAAGAAAAAAAAAAGAATAAAAGGAAAGGCTAAAAAGGATTGAAAGTCCCATGAACACAAAACTGAGATGTTTTTCTGTGAAGAAAATAGGATTTCACCTTTCTTTCACCTTGCAGAAATCCCCTTTAGCACACCAAAGCCAACACTTCTTAGAAACAGGCTCTGGGCTATTTGCTGTCTGTTGTGTAGTATCCAGTGAAGTGAGCTCCTCTGTGACCCACAGAACCTAGAACTGTGTGTCTTGCAGAGCAGATTAACCAACCCAGGGCTAATTTGATGAAGTCTAGATATCTAAAGGAGGCCTAGAAATGTTGCTGCTTCAGCTCAGAAGTACATGGGTGACCTATGCCATTTGTGACAACATCTGAGGACTGGCCAAATGGGCAGCCTTGAGGAAGATGAGGTTAGGCTTGTTTCCAAGTAAGACTAAACCAGACAGGGAGGAGGACACTGCCACCTTTTGAAAATGGGGTGGAAGGGAGGGGGAAGATAGCTCAGCAGTCTAAGCACCTGCCTGGAAGTGCAAGGGCCCAGTACTATCCTTGGTACCACATGCCCCAAGCTGAGCACTGAAAATGTAGGGGTGGGGGGATGCTGCAGTGGCTCAGATCAGGAAGGAGAAAAATGGGCATTGCTGTGAAGAATAACATGTGCATGCCTAACATTCATAGCAATCTTTTGACTCTAGCTCATTGAACCAGGCCAGCAGCTGCTATCTACACAGCACTCTCTAGTCAGTTCTTAGGTTTTAGTCTAGGAGGGCTCCCTCCTAATGTCCTGAAGCCCTGTGCTGCAGCATGGGCCCTGTTAAAATAAACTCACTTTGATGTTCCAGAGAGACAGACTTACAGACAGACAGACAGACAGACAGACAGACAGACAGACAGAGACAGAGAGAGATAGAGAGACAGAGAGAGACAGAGAGAGACAGAGAGACAGAGACAGAGAGACAGAGAGAGAGAGAGACAGAGAGTGAGACAGAGAGAGAGACAGAGAGAGAGACAGAGACACAGAAAGACAGAGACACAGAGAGAGACAGAGACAGAGACAGAAAATTCTGCTCAGTCCCAAGGTGCCCTCCATCTTGTGTTTATATTCCAATGTCAACTTCTAATAAGCCCATAGCAACACCAGGAGCTTCCAGTCAGAGTTGACAGACTCAAACAGTGTCACTAAGGGTGGAAAGCTATGGCTTCCTAGGAAGCCATGGCACAGGCTCCACTGGACAGTCGTTTGTCTTATACCTCTCTATACCAGTTTCCCAGGCAGAAGCAAGGAGCACAGAAGCTAGAATCCAAGATCAGCAGGGATAGCAAAAATGAACAGGGCTCAGAAGTAAAGTCTATCAGTTATATGAATTCAAGCTCAAAATCTCAGATTCATCCATCAGTTGATGAAACTCCCCACAGATTCCTTCCCATCAAGAAGAAAGATAAGCACTAGGTCCTGAGTTCAATCCCTGGTAAAGCAAATAAAAAAAAAGAAAAGAAAAGAAAAAAAAAAGAAAGAAAGAGGTGTAGAAAGCTAGGCTCTGGAGAAGGCTGGCAAAGCACCAAATCCAGAAGCAGAAGCACCAAATCCAGACCAAAACAGGAGTATAGATTCTACCTTTTAGAAAAAATGTCTCAAAACTGAGAACTTAGAAAATATCCTTGGAGCACAGAGTGGAAAAAACTTGTAGAGGCAAACTTCAAAATTTTATTAGTGTATAATCAGGAATAATAGCTAACAAAAAGGAAAAAGGATCCAATGCCTTAAGTATTAGAACACATACACTTAAAAGTTAAGTTTTCTAAAAGCACATTAGGGCTGGCCAAATAGCTGGATTAAAGAATTAAAGCACCTGCAAGCAGGCGCAGCAGCCAGGAATTCCGGGCCTGCTGAGAAGGCAATTGAGAATGGCCATGGTGGCGCATGCCTGTAATCCCAGCTCTTGGGAGGCTGCAAACAGGAGGATCACTACAAGTCTGATCTAGTAGTGAGACCCTGAACACCCTGTAGACCCTTCCCTAAAATACAGATGAGAAAAAAAAGCACATTAGTTCTTCCATAGCCTCTTAATTCTTGGGCTCTTTGAGCCTTCTCCTCCAAAGAAAGGATATTTCAAAAGCAGAATCAAGGGCAAGAGCGATCAGGACCTCTACGCGGTTCAACTAATCTGCAATAGCCTTTGTACCCATGGGCAGACAGACATCAAAGCTGAAAAACAGGCAAAGGCCAGATAATGAAGCCCTTAGAATACTAAGTTAGGGATCTAGGTTTTATCTTACAGCTCACCAGTTTTCAGCACAGAGTTGATATAATAAAGTTATTCAAAAAATAAGTGTAGCATTGGGTCTGTTGTGGTGGTGCACACCTGTAATCCCAGTACTGGGGAAGCTGAGGTAGAAGAACTGCCTACCTCAAGGCCAATTTCAACTATACAGTGAGACTGTCTCAAACAAAAACAAAAGTAAATGTAGTATGGAAAAAACTTAGACTCACTGATTTTTAAGAGTGTCAAAATGTTACTCATTAACTAGGGAATTTGCAAGTAGATAACAGGATGTACCAGGATGGTGACTAAGAAGCGTTTGTATGCCCCATTTAATGAAAAAATGGTTACATAAATAATGAAGCTGCTTCATGTAATACTGGTTTATTTCATGGAGCTATAAAATTTGAAGGGCAACAATTAAAATCATCTTTCTAGACTTTTCAGATATAAACTTTTTTTTTTTTTTTTGGCAGAATCAGGGATTGAACTCAGGCCCTTGTGCTTGCCAGGGAAGCACTTATTCCACTGAGCCATCTCCCCGGCCCCCAGGTATAAACTCTTAATCAAAAATAAATAATATATCTGAGAAACATGGGTTTAGTAAATTAATTCAGGATTTCAAACTAGGTTTTAGAAGATTGCTGTTAGCTCAATTGTTTAAGTGCCTGCCTAGGCAAACCCAGTCAGGCTTGCTGGACCGCGGTTTGAACTCCAGCTCCACATGCCGCACCACACCTGCCATTAAGGCAGCCTGAGACAAACAAAAAAAAAAAAAAAAAAAAAAAAAAATTGCCCTCAAACAAAGTTTTATCACCTGATAAGGAGACAGCACAAAAGCCTAGAGGTCTGCTTTTCTCAAATGGCTCTTACTAAATTTCCTCAGCATCCACATTGAACACACAATTGGCTTTAGTCTTCATGTATAAAATAACTACAGAAGGTTGCAAGGGGGAAATATACATATATTTCAGAGCCCTCTGAGATAACATAAGCTTCCCTTGGGACTGCTTCTTTAAGACATAAAATGGAACTGAAGACTTTTTCAATCTTGAGAAATGGGAGTCCAGCAGCACCAGAAAGACTTTGAAAGAGACTTCTTATGCTAACCTGTATTTCTTCCTCATCATCTCCCAGACATGATATTAAATCATAAAACTTAGGAGATAATCAGTCTGTAAATATTAAGCTAAGTAAAAGCTAATGGCAATAGCTAATAATCTGTGCTCCTAGCTGAAATAGCAAAACTTGATGCTGCCTTTGACCTGAAAGGCCTGTTGAGACAAGGAAAACACAAGCCCGACAGGACCTGACTCATCCCACAAGCTCTTGGCACATTAATGCCTAGGAAGCTAAAATACAACACACTGGCGTGAAGTTTTTCAAACATGGCTTCTGTTCATCTAATTTCCCTAGGCCTGAACTTGATCCTAACACACTTTATATATAAACAGAAGCTAGACATTTGCCCATGGTGACTTGAGTAAGTACTGGATGTGGGAACTGTGCATTCATTTAAAGTGGTACCAGCTGTTTTCAATTTCCCAGGAAAAAACAGGCATTTTGAGAGAGGAAAGACATCCTTGGAAGCCTAGGCCAGAGAAACCTAGACACAATCCCTATTCACAGGAAGCCTACAGCCAAGCAGCCTACGCTTGGTAGTGATTAACAAAAATACAATGATTTTTTTCCTGTCAACCCAAAGAAGCCTGTTCATGAATGAATATGGATTTAAAATATCAGTAGTGTAACTTTTTTTTTTTTTTTTTTTGGCTGGCTCAGGATGCCTTCAGGGCAGGTCTGGTAAGGCTTGAGGATCAACCACAGCATCCTGATTGCTTTGTTTAAGCAGTCACTTAAACAACTGAGCTAATGGGCAGGCCCCCATCAGTAGTATAACTTACTCTCTGCTTTAAATACTGTCAGTAGATGGTCTGAAATTAATTCTTCCACTGAAGATTCCAGCTTCCTTTCTCCATCAATTATCCAAGGAGTTTGGGGTAGATTTCTGGAGTATTTATTGTATCTCCCTGTCAAAGAAATACTAGGTAACCTGTATGGAATGGCATAATTAACACAATAAGATAACAAGAGAAGCAACAATTTTCAATGAGTGTCAATATCCTAGATGCTATAACATAGTAGGTACTGTGATATAAAACAAGGCCTAGCCTTTAATTCACATCTAACTTGAGGAGCTAGCATATAGACATGAAGATAATCAAAGAGAAAGATGTAAAGCAACCATAGAATAGATGGATAACAACATGATAGGAATGAGTTTTTTTTCTTAATGCTCAATATATTCAGTAATATGACTAGTTGACTGACCAAGTTATAGAATGGAACACACTAAGGATCATTTTTTTAAAATGTTGCTTTTACACATGATTAATAATACTCTCAGTGCAACTGTCATTAGGTGATAATGTATTCCAAGGGATTCAAATATAGGAAATTCTGAAGTTTTTGTAACTTAAACAACAACAACAACAACAACAACAAAAAAAAAACCCTAGCAGACTATGACTCACTGCCTTACAAATAAAGCTGCGCTAAGGTGAGAAGTTTTCATTGCTCCAGGGCAATCAAGGCTGAAGTACAATTTCATTTCAGCTATTACTGTGAAGTAGCCATAACTTTCAAAATAAAAACTGCTATAGTACTGCTTGGGAAAGTCAAAAGTCAACATAACTTTTTTTTCAGGGGAAAGCCAAGTGTTTACTCATTTGGGAGATAATCAAATTATTTTCTCAAGTTTGTTCTATCCTTTTATGCTGCAGTTTTTCTCATTAGTTAGGAGTCTGTATTTCTGCCCCTATTTCTACTTGGCCAACTGTGATGAGAAGTAATAAATTAAAAAAGCTGAAAATTCTATCTCTGATGGAAACCCCCTTTGGTGTGGCATTTTAAATAACATATTTCCTGATGATCTTAAGAAAGGCTATAAAATCTAAAATAATTTGGCTGTTAGTTCTACTTCTCAAAAAAGTAAACTATCCAGACCTCCTAACAACAATAAGAATAAAGCACAAGAGTTGTCAATTGAGTTGCTCAGAAAGGATAGTGGGCTGACAGCGTACATATATTCTAAACTAAATAACTTACCAGCTACAAAAACAGCACCATGAGCACATTCAATTTCAAGAACAGTGCATACAGCCTTTGGTGAGTTTGGAGGACAAGGAAACTGCCTGCAAAACAAAATAAATGTAAGGCTACTATTTTCTAGACATGATATTGAATCATAAAACTAAGATGAATCAGCAGTATGGGACACACATAGAACCTGAGTCTCTAAAGGACTATGCCTCGCCCTTGATAGATTTTCAATGGTGTTGCAGCAGAGAAACAGGCAAAAGGAAAAAAGGAAAAGGGGCTTAATTATCTTTGAGGACAGAGAGAATCTGGGGAAAATAAGGGACTCTCTGGACTTCAACAAAGGGAGGCTGAGGCTTTTATGACTCTTTGCCAGGGCTGGAGTTTGAGGGGGATGTTTAGATATACCTGAGAAACTGATTGGGGGTCTTCCCTGAAGTGGCGGGAAGGGTGACAGGAAATTGTACCCTAAGCTGAGCTGGAGAAGAAGCGGGGGTTCTCTTGGGAAGATTGGCTTTTGTTTTAAGGGCTTCAGCCATATTAGATGATCACCATAATGATTCAACAATTCATACTAGGGCCAGAACCTATCATCCCTAACTTTTAGTTTGGGAACAATAAAAGTCAGAACTCTGGAATTCAGCTTTGAGAGCTGTCTGGTAGTTCTAGCAGGGGAGCCCAGCTACCAACATACACTTGACCAAGGGAATGGTCCTCCTCCATGGGAGTGGAGCTGCTCAACCTCTTCCCAGAGGGATGCACATAAGACACGAGAGAGGAAGGGGACACCCGACTAGCCAGCCCCATCAGCCAAATCAACCCTGGCGATCAATGAGGTGACACAAGTCACAAACAGATCACTCTTATGTCCCGGAGTAACACATAACAGTGGGAGTAAGTAAATCAAGCCTCAGATACTACTTTTTGAGCTTAGGAAGCCTTATTTTCCCAGATAATGATTTCTAACAGGCTTGAGAATAGGGGAAAACATATATTAAATATATGTTATATATATATATATATATATATGAGATATTATATATGTAATTATATATGTATATGTATTATATATATTATATATATATGAGAGAGAGAGAGAGAGAGAGAGAGAGAGAGAGAGAGAGAGAGAGAGAGAGAGAAAACACACGCACATGCCCCTCCAGGGTCCTCCACCATTTTTCTCCTCAGTCAGCGGCTGCTGACTTACATGGTTCTCAATTGCTTGGGAAGGCTGGTGTGTGGTAAGTGGTTCCTTCTATGGAGGATATCCCACCTGTGCCTTGTGCCCACATTTACCATTTTTCCTTTTTCTTCCTTCTCATTCCAACTATGACTTTGGGAATTAAACCAAAGAGCAGAAAAAGTATAGTAATTGACATTCTCCTCTCTTAGCTAAGAAACTTCAATCTAACTAAGACATATGGGAAAGAATAACATATGGCTTTACTTTCTGTCCATTATCTAGGAAATTTCTAAGTCACAAACTGGAGTCTACTTATAAATTACTAGATGTGGATATAAATGTATATTTTGGTGGCACCAGGGATTGAACACAGAGGGTCATTCAAATAGTCTACTATTGAACTATATGCTCAATTCTTATTTTGACACAGGGTCCTGCTAAATTGCCAAGGCTTGCCTCAAACTTATAATCCTCCTTCCTCAGCCACTCAAGTAGCTGGAATTGGAACATATAAGACACCACATCCAAGTAGATGTGAAATTACCCCAAATTTATATCCTCAAAATTTCCTAGTTTCCCAGGATGCCTTTACAAAGAAATCATTTAATTATATGATTAATCATTTATTATATGTTTAATTATATAAGCACCAGGAGCTAATGCTTATATAATTATGTTTAATTACTTTCTAAAATATAATAAAAATATTTCTATTCTGAGATTCAGTTAATAAAAGATTTGAAACTCTTCTCATAACATCACTGCTTGAAATTTATTTCAGAATGTTCTTGAGGAATAACTATCATAATGTTTTATTTAATAAAATAAATGCACTGAAAATGAAAATATAAGGCTTACTACAATTATTGTGATTCAGTATATTTTCATATTTATATTTTAGAAAACATTGATATCCAAAGATGGAGTTAATCTGCCTAGGATTTCAACTGAGGAATAGAGAGCGTGGACCTAGGGCCAGGTTCCCTTGCTCCCAGCCAGAGCTATTCCCATTACAACTAAGGAAACTCCCAAGCCTTCTCCCTCTTCTGGAGATGGGCCATCCTAAGAAATACAAAACTAGGGATGTAATAAAAATAGTACTGGATCAGAGGTTCACTCTGTTATCCAACTAAAAACTTAGGCGGCAAGACAAGTCTTCTTTGGACATGAAAATCTTCTTCTAAACCATAAGGAATTGGGGCTTGATTCTCAATTCAAATATTAATTTGACCAACATCTGCTGGATACCACTATATGCAGCTTCTGAGGCATGGACACATAAAACATGGTTTCTGAAACACGTACAGTCTTGTTTCAGAGATAAACCAGATTATCTCTAACATTCCCTTTTATTTTAAAGTCCATGATTGCCTCCTTATTTTTATACTTTTACTTACTTGCGGAATTCCTCTTCTTTTATCTTATTCAAAGCTTTCATAACTGCCATTCTAGTGAACACTGACTATACAGGGCAAAATGAAAAGACATTTCATTACCTAAACAATAAAACACTGGAACGGAAATTAGAAAAATTACATTGTTTTACATACTTAAAAGGGGCAAAAACTTCATAGTTCAAAGAAAATAAATAAAATTTAAGCACCCATAACGTCAGTTCTGTAACTGGTATACTTCCACAAGCCTTTGCTCTACTATGGTCTGTATCCACTGTGCCAGGCAAATCAAGCAGAACAAGTCTCCTTTACTGTTTCCTCTTCACAATGCAGCATTTCCCCAATGTAAAAATGATGGTACTGCACATAATATGTCTTGAACTTTTTTCTAGCATCCCTCTATGGTGACAGTAGCATCTAGCTTAGGACTTGCCTTTTAAGGTACGGGATGAGAGCCAACAAGTCTTCTCTGCCACCTACCAGCCCGGTGTCACTCAGCAGCCACAAGGTAACAGAAGGGTATCTACAAATCTCCCAATTCGGTTTCGATCTTGTTTGTTTTGAGACAGCTTCTGACTATGTAGTCCAGCCTGGCCTCCAACTCATAATCCTCCTGGCTCAGACTTCCTAGGGCTGGAATCCAGCTATGTACCACCACACACAGTTTACTCGAATTTTTTAAAATGAAAAGCCAAACTTCATGTAATACAAATATGCATTCCAACTCCGTGTACAATTAGTACATATATTCATGTCTTACAATGATGGTCATAATTACTTCTTTTGCTACATGGAATTCACATGGGAAAGGAGCAAAAAGGAGGTACCTGAACAGTTCATCATTAGTGAAAACAATGATAGTAAATCAGTTTTCTAAATCATATTCTGGGGAACCCTAAGGAGTAGGTCAATCACAACTGAAAAGTGTTTGTTTGATAATATTTGAAATCCTAGGCCTGAAAGAAAGGTCATTTGATTTACTCTCAGCCACTAATAAAAAACCCTACATTTGAGGCTTTGTAATTCCCATTGGCCAAAGCATATGGTATCTAAGATGCTTTGGGAAAAAAATTCTTATCCTCTTATGATGCTAGCACTTCTACATTTCCTCAAATGTAACAAAAATGAAACTAGATCTTCAGCACATATGTTTTCTAAGTCATTTGGGCAGAGCTCCCTAAATGGTATGGTAAAACAGCAAGCCACAGTTGTGTGCCAAGATACCTATCCCTTGAGGCCACAGAGGCTTCTGGGCAGGGCCTGAGACAATGGGCTCCCCCAGGCCTACTGCTTCCAACCTGGAAGAATTTCATCTGTTAAGCTTACAGTGTGAACAAACCCACTAGGCTAAGTTTGCCATGATAGAAGAGTACAGAAGCACTGCCTTGGGTTTGTCTGCACTTCTACTTATTTCTGTAGAAGACAGTATCTGACAAATGTAAAGGTTAAATAATTAGTCAAAGCAAAGATCAAATGTGTACCTCTGACAATAAAATAAACATATTCTAAAATTCCTAGAATCTTTGAAATACTTCTAGTATTTGGATAGGGGATATTCAAGTTGTATTAATTCAGGACTGCCTAAATGAAAAATTTACCTTGGTTTATTTATTTTTTATTTTTTTATTTTTTGCGGAACTGGGGATTGAACTCAGGCCCTTGTGCTTGCCAGGTAAGCATTTATTCTACTGAGCCATCTCCCCAGGCCCTTTGGTTTATATTTCTAAACATAAAAAAATTTTTATGTTTAAAAAAAAATACGGTGTTTAAAAAATGTCTATTCAAAAAGGTTTGAAATGCTACTGATACTTATCATGGATTTTTCCAGATGATATAATTTGGGGAGTTAAAAATTAAAAGTTGAATAGCCTCAAAGAGTAACATCATTGAAACACTGGTTCTAAACTTAATGAACCAGTGGAACAACCTAGACACTGACAAATATTTGTGTGCTATGACTTCCTAGATAGAGGCAAAGGTGCTGAGGGTTGAAAAAAATAATAAAAGTAAATGTAGTAAATGGATATTTAAAGATTAATTCTCGACACAACAGAGTAGCCACATTTTTAATGCACATTTGTTTTATTGTAAACCTGAATATTAAGTACAGAAAAACTCACTAAAAAAAATAAGAAGTATCCTTACCTGTTTGTTTTTGGCTGGCTTGAAACAATCTGGGCAAACTGTACCTCTAAAATACATTCAAATTAATAAAAAAGGTTAATGAGTTTATTTGAGGATAGATGTAATTCAAATATATTTTATATAATATGGTTGCTAAACCTAGGATATGAGGAGCAGTCAAAATGAATCTCTACATGAGCTGCAGTGGTTTGCTCAGGAACTTTACATGAGAGGTTACATTTCAAGTCTACTAAGACATGACACATTCTGAAATACTCATTAGAAAGAGAAACAGTACTATTTTTACGAAAACCAAAAGAATGAACAATTTTACACAACTGACATGCTGCTTACGTGGCAACTTACAGGAAGTGGCAATCCTCAACTGTTTCTGGGTGAGCGAAGACCACACTCACTTCAAATAAGCTCTAAAAATTATAAAGACGGTTTTAAAATGAGCAAAGAGAAACTAACTTATCAATGGAAATTGAAATTAACTCTCAAAGATTGTTTCAGAAAAAATGACAAGGAAAACTAGCAGTACTAGCTCTCAAAACAGCTTCTTCACAGAGCAGCTATAAATAAAAGGTTTTTATTTTTTCCATTTAAAAATTCAGTCACTAGTGATACTACCAAAAAGGTCTTTTAAATTTTTTAAATTAATTTATATGATTTGGGGGCATCTATGTAAATAAGTTATGAAGATGAACGAAAATTTAGAAAACTGATAGGAGATAATAACTAAAAGAAAAAAACGGTTCAGTCAATACTATGCTTAAAGTTCACAAAGAGGCAA